GGTTCATTTCAATGGGTCTCTGCAACCGGTTCAATTCAAGGGGTCTCTGCTACCGGTTCATTTCAATGGGTCTCTGCAACCGGTTCAATTCAATGGTTCTCAGCAACCAGTTCAATTCAAGGGGTCTCCGCAACCGGTTCATTTCAATGGGTCTCTGCAACCGGTTCAATTCAAGGGATCTCTGCTACCGGTTCATTTCAATGGGTCTCCGCAACCGGTTCAATTCAATGGGTCTCTGCAACCGGTTCAGTTCAATGGGTCTCTGCAACCGGTCCATTTCAATGGGTCTCCACAACTGATTCACTTCAATGGGTCTTACAACCGGTTCAATTCTGTGGGTGATGTGGTTAAAATCAGACCAAGCAACCCCACTTGCCAGAACATTTCTTAAGCTGGGCCCGCCTGACAATCCAGTCAATTTTTTTTTTTAAACTAGGCCAAAAGGGTGATTTTAACACATATTCACTGGGCCAGTAGGTAAGTCACTGTATTAACATAGCTCCTACCATATATACGTGCAGATCCAAAGGTCATGAATTCAAATCCAAATCCTTTTTCAAAAATGACATTGCCTCCTAGTTGAACCCTGCCTTAAACTGGTACCAGATTAAGTCCTGGGAAGTAAAGGTGGCTGGCATGATGTTGACAGAGTGCCAGCCGTTCTATAAAACATAGATTAAGCACTATGTGCGAATACTCCTGCAGGCATGAAAAACGGTCCTTTTACTGCAATATATTAGTTAAATAGTCGACAGATTATCTTCATTGCACATTGAACCCATTCAGTCCATAAGTGCTTGGACCGCCTCCTCAGTAAATCTTGCAGCGTGCAACGGCTCATGACACCAGTTCTGTGTTGGTTTCTTATTCTTCTTTGGCTTCCTGCATAGTACTCTTGTCTGGCAACACCCCTTTTACTGCAGTATATGTGTGTGTCATCTGTTTATTTGCACCTGTAAGACTGACCCAAACCATTTTCTTAAAAGTGATGATGATTAAATCAAGTAAAAACATCAGAAATATTTCTGAATAAGAAAGTGCTGCATTTTGGGGGAAAACCCACATTTAAACATAAATAAATACAATGTATATAAATCTTTCTATTCACAATGGCAGGAATCTGGAATAGGTAAAACTATACTTAAAAAGCTCTTTGCGGACGGCATATTTTACAAACTTTTTATCAATCACAGTGCATAACACACATAAATATGTATCTAATATGGTATAGATGCAAATGAAAATATGCATATAAAAATATCATGACCTAACTACAAGCTACACTGCATATAACACCCGAGATGTAACAGTCAATCTAATGGGGTTTACACAACTGCACCAATGTGTGTGCACATACACAGTTGATATTACACATCTCTTTCAATAATAATAATTAAACTAAACTAACTCATAATATAGTCCTGGGAAGTAAAGGCGGCTGGCTTGGTGTTGACCACATTACCTACTAAGTGCCGATTTGTCTATGAAAATACAGGTCTAGCCCTATATTCCCAATCGCCTAAAGGTGTTAAAAAGGGGCCTTTCTTAAATCTTATAATATGAACAACAAGTAGATACTTGTAGTAAATCAGGATTTTTAAAAGCAACAAATAAATGTAGTTTTAGTACATCAGCAATGTGGATACTGCTTTTACTATAAACATACTTATATTCAGAATACTGCCTGCAAATCTATGTACCTTTACAATAAGGAGGTTTTTTATTTGTTGATTCTATGTACAATAATTTACTAGTCACATTACTTTTGTTCATGCATAATGCACACTTTTATCATTACTAAACATTAGAATACATTTTGTATGTTAAAAACTGTTCGTCAAGTCTACCTAGGAATGTCAAAAACAAAAGAAAGACACAAACTTTGTATTAGTGGTTCCCATTTAGCTAAGACCTGCAGACTCTTCTTATTTTCTAGAGTCTGACATGAACCCCATAATTTCTTATAGTCTGAGCTTCACGTTGAGAAACCCTGAGAACAATATAACTAGAATGTTTTTGTACTGGAACCCACATGGCACAGAAATAAAAGATAGACCAAAAAACACATGGAGAAGGGAGCTGGTGAGTGAAGCCAAAAAGATGGAGAGGGCTGCATGCGATTAAAAATAATACCATGGACATTGAACCCTTTTGCCAGGTAAATAGTAAAGAAATTGGTCATTAACCTATGGGAATTGCCTGAATAAAATACTTTAAAATATTTTTTTAATTAAATTTTAAAACTATCAAGTCACTAATACATTTTTCTAAATGTGTTTGTCTACATTTTTAATTTTGTTCTTTCGAAATATATAAAGCTATATAACAGGGGTAATCAATAAATGAACAGAGTAAAGCCTTAATTGGAATACATTTCCTGGGATCTAAAAACAAAAAAATAATGGGTATCGGGTGGCTCATGACAAGACATCAATCACTGAGGCTTACTAGAAAAATTTTCATCAATTTCACTTTAAAAAGGCCATTGAGGATACCTCCCTAAAGGCTACTATATTCATAAAGGTAAAGGTAAAGTTGGGATATGTGAACCAGCATCATTGCACACAGTTATAAACCATAAGTGCTCTGCCACCAGTACGGACAGCTGATAAGAAACTGTCTGCCTGTGTCGCCGTCCGCACGCAACTCTGTAGCTACAGCGACGTTCCTCCACTTGCCCCAGAGTCTTAACTCTGGTACCCATTTCCTAGAGGCTGGGTGAACCCTGGGAACCGCCCGGTTTCGAACACTGACCGTGGGCTGCAGAAAGTCGCAGCTGGATTTCAAAGTGAGTCTCTTATCGACTGCGCTAACATGGCCCCCTTCTATATTCATATCATGGGCTATATTAAAGACTGCACAGGCATGGAACTAAGCTTTTAAGAACAGGTCTACTCGTGTGGGTTCCAGAGCCCTATTATAGGAAAAACAAGAATAGACCCACTGCCTACCCAAAAGCATGTCGTAAGAGTCGACTAATTTGGAGCTTCCCTCGAAGTCGGAGTGCATCTGCCTGAGAGGCAAAGAACCAACAGTCTGCATACAAATGAGTCAGATCTGTCAAATGGATGCACATGTAACACTCAGGTTCTGGAACAGAACTGCAGTCAAGAAGTGGACGAACAAACAGAACTTTCCACCAGAGTTTACAGCTGGTGAATGCAAAGTGGAAAGAAGAAGAGAACAGGTCACCGCAGACAAGCCGATTTTTGGCATATACAGGACTGTGTCACAACCAGAAGTGAATAAATTTAGTCTTCTTGGGCCGCTAGGGTTAAATTTATTAGGTCGACCACCAAATAAAAAAGACAGCTTATCCAGCAAAAAACAAGACAAAATAATTGCTGATCGAAGGACCAACATTGGCTTACTCTCCAAGGAAGCAGAACTGGTCTTGCAGTGGATACCAGCCCATTGTGATATTCAAGGAAATGAGAGAGCAGATGAGTTGGCAAAAGCTGGGAGTAATCTTCCACAACCTCATCCACCACACAGCTACAAGGAAACCAATACAGCGCTAAAGCAGTCTTTCAAGCGGGAGTGGAGAAGGCAGAATGGAGATTACAGACCAGAGAGTGACAGCATAAACAAACTCAACAGGAAAGAACAAACATCAATTCTTAGACTTCGGACTGGACACTGTGGTCTTCGACCACACTTGTACAGGATAGGCATAAAAGAATCTGCTGCCTGTGATTGTGGAGCAGAAAGACAAACCCCTGAACACATACTGCAGTACTGCCCTTACCTCTCCAAGCAAAGACTGTGGATCTGGCCCAAAGGAGCCACATTGCAAGAGAAGCTATGGGGGACCGGTGGCGACCTTAAACGCACAATCCTATTTGTGACCCAGATGGGACTCAATGTTTAGCATGACTGATATCGAACGCAGAAGAAGAAGAAGAAAAAGACAGCTGCAGACTAGAAGAAAAAAAAAGGATTCAATAGCATATCACTGATTAAATGACTACTAATAGCTTTAGTTTTCTATTCTGCAAGTTAATAAAACTAAAAACTTGCTGAGAACTCAGTTAATATTGAATTACGACAGACATACTCTAAATATATGAAATATATAAAACATATTCATGTCCTGTCAGAACCACCAGGCTAGCTACCATAATATCCTAGCTGCAAATTTGTATTTTTGAATAGTTTCACTTACATTGATTAAATTTCTTTTAATGATCTAACTACTATGTACATGAGTAAGTAAAGTAAAGGGCATCTTTTCATATTGGCGACCGTAATGGAAGACTTCTTCTTAAAATTCAGTGGCTGTTAACACCAACAGAAAGCTTCTGCTGTTCATTCACTTCTGGACTTTGGTCACGTTTCAAAATTTCAATTTTGCTTGCACATCCATTTTACAGATCTGGCTTATTTTATGCAGACTGTTGGTTTCTTACCTCCCAAGAAGATGCACTTTGACTTTAAAGGAAACATCCCAAATTAGTCACCTTTATGACATGCTTGTAAGGGGAACAGTAGGTGTTTTTTTTCTTTTCTTCCCCAAACTTGAGCCCCAAAACCCACATGAGGATAATGGAAGATTTAAATATGGCCACCAGCTTGCAAAAAAAGCATGCCATCTACTGAACTAGTGTGGCTACTGGTGTATATATTTCAAATAACTTTATATGTAATTAAATAACTTTAATAACATTAAAAATTAACTGCATAAATTAAGAACACAATAAATTAAGAACACAACTGAATGAACTACTGATCTCTAGTATAACTTTCAGTATGAATAATTTAGAAATAAAGCTAAAACTACAAGTAAGCTATATAAAATCTAATACAAAATGTATGTATGTTTGTAAAGAAATGTATGTTTGTAAAGAATTCTTGAAATGTTCATTGAGAGCGAGTGCAGAAATGTATGTTTTGTTTCTTTATTATTTTGTGTTGTTCTTTAGCTGAATGAGCTGGTAATCTCAGCTGAATATGAAGTTTGAAGATCTGAACAAGTGTAATTCAAGACAATGGAAGTGCCTCTATCCTTTTGAAAGTTCAATGAGAGCAAGTGCTGAAATATATCTGTCTTTTTCTCTATTCTTTGGAGTGGTTCTGTAACTGATTGATCTGCTTGTCTCGGCAAAATTTGACTCTGGTACCTCAAGATCTACTGAAGTATAGTTCAAGGATCCAGATGACAGTGGAAGTGCCTTAACTTTAGAAACCTGCTCCAGCAGAGGTGTTTTACATGACACAGTTACTTTAGGAAACAACGTTGCTGGTGATGTAGTTGGCTGTTTATAAATTATTGGCTTAGATGGTGCCGGGGCAAGTGATTTAATTGGCTGTGCTGTGGAAAGTAGGCTAATCAACGATGTAGGGGTAGGGGGCTTACTAGGTGGAGCCACAGCAGAAAGTCTGCTAGATAAGGAAGGTGTTATCTGTTTGGTAAGCAATGATGCATAAGATTTCAAAGGTCTCACATGAGCCAGGTTATTTGGTGGTAGTGTTCTGTAATCAGGTAAGCTTAGCTCAGGAACTGTTGGAGATGTGTTGCGGTAGGGGCTGAGTATGGGACTCAATGATTCAGCAGTGTCATTGTATTGCCCCTGTAAAATCATTTGACTGGAGTAAATGAAATGGTGAATATCAGTTAGGTTCTCTGATGGTGCAAGGTTCTGTGGCATTGAGCATTTAGATGATTCTGACATTGATGACACCCCTGATGATGACGATGAAGCTGAGGGCTGTCTTGACATCAATGTTGACATGGATATGGGACTGGATATCATCTGGGGCTGTGGGAGTATTGTTGATGTCAGAGCCACTGGAGAGAGTGGAGATGGTGTGCTGGGTGTGAGGTCTGACATGATGCTTGGTAAAGACCAGTTGTGAGAGGACCCTTCATCGTATGTGTGGGCATCCTTAGATGTGTTATCTATGCTGTCCGATGAATGTAGCATTTTCTTTAAAGGTTGTTTTGGGTTTGCTCTTTCTTGACAATGCTTAACATACCTAAATGTGAAAAAAAAAGGGAAATATTCAAAGAAATGTTTTAGTGTGATTTTAAATGACACAATAAATTATGCAGTATGTTCTTTTGTTTCTAATTATTTTTTGATTTGATTTGATTTGGTTCAAGAACTGACATCACAGCACTCTGGGCATTCCCATAAGCACTCCATCCCCATCTTCAGCAGCCAGCGAAGAGTTCCAATGCTAATGGTGCCAGTAGCATTCTGATTAAATGTCCGTCTTGTCTTTCCTCTGAGCCTCGACCATCTGCCAGAACCTCTCGTCACTCCCCGCTGCATCAGTCTCACCAGACTGTGGTGATCCATTTGCTCCTCCGAACTGTACACGCTCTCCCACAAGGCACTAACCACGTCTGCCTTATCATGTATCAGTATTCCACCAAGTTGTGCAGAGCCAGCCAGTCTGTCTGCCAGTTCATTTCCCAATACACCGGCGCTCCCTGGTGAAAAAATCCAGACAATACTCCTCACATGTATCCTCTGCAGCGAAGCATGCCACTCTGCACGAAGCATACCTGTTCTGAAATTCCTCAGCATGCTTTCTGAATCAGTTACAAATCAGTTTTTTTAAAAAATATATACATATAAACTTAACTGTTTCATCATCTTCTTTTTCTGCATTTGCTTTGAAAAGAGTGGCTGAGACATTGTGTTGTGGGTTACAGCTAGGCTACAATATATGCACCTTTCTGCCTAACATATTAGATTTCTGCAAATCCCTCATTAGTTCCCTTTTACGACACACTTGTTAAAGTTCAATGGGTTTATTCTGTCCTCCCGCTCCCCAACCCCCCTCCCAATATAGCCCTGGTACCCATGCAGGAAATGGCCTGTTTTAAACAATGTAGGGTTTGCAAGTGGAGGTAAGTGAGAGACAGCAACCTCATTGTGGAGGCTTAGTAAGGAAAGCAAATCATAGTACCACTGGGAGCACCAGCCCCTCTGGGCTTAGACACCTCAAGCCCGCAGGGGCATAGAGATAAAGGCAGACCAAAAAATACATTCAGAAGGGACCTAGAAGGTGAAGTTACAAAGATGAAGACATGGGGTGAGTTGACTGCAAGGGTAGAATGACATGGCATGAGTTGGTTAAAGGCATATCCTCCATCGGGGGATATATGGCAGAACCAGAAGAAAACCACATATCAAGTGGGAAGCTATTGTGTTTAAATCTCAGTCAAGGTGCGGATTCATTTAAATTCACCTGTTATCCCAAGTTGACGAAGCTCAAATTTTGGTGCCAGGAAATTTCCTAGTAAGTAAAGATGGCCAACAGGATACTGACACTATCATCAGTCCAGTGACAAATATTCTATAAAAATATTAGGAATATCACCCACAGATTTGTGGAAAGGGGGGGGGGGGGGGGGGGGTGTCTGTCCTTTAGTTTTACTTTAAATTAAATCATTGTATGAATACATTATGTCATACCTGATGATGGCAATGGGTGTCTGAACACCAGTGTTGACATGGATATTACTAGCAGGATAATGACCCAATCATTAATCCAGTGACAAATATTCTCTAAAAACAGGCATCTGCGTTTCAGTATCTTGGAACAATATTCACTCAAGATGGTAAATTGGACAAAGAAATTGACATCTGATGCAGTAAAGCTGGCCAAGTATTGGGACAGCTAGCCACCCTTTTACAGCATAAGGCAATCCCAATCAGCACAAAGAGACATCTCATACAAAGCATATTTATTCCCACCCTATGCTATTAGTGCCAGACGTGGTCACTCACAACAACACATACAAGAAAATTAGTAACCATGAAAATAAGGTGTATGTAGGAGTGAACAGAAGAGAAAAAATCAGGCATGAGGTCATACGAGATAAAGTCGACACAGAGCAAATTCTAAATTAAATACAAAGACAGCAAATCAAATAGTTAGCTCACTTGGAGAGAATGCCTTCTGATGCTATGCTATACAAGGCATATACAAAAAGAGGAAAGGGACATAGATCAAGAGGCAGACCAAGAACATGATGGGAAGATAACATCAAACACTACAGCACCAGGATGTGTCTATGGTCGAAGCAGCCAGAAAAAGCACGAAGCAGGGCCTTGTATCTCCCTCGACACCCGAAGCGGTAAAAGAGGATGAAAAGAAGAAGAAGTGAATACATACTTTTCTGTATCTTTCTTCCTACCAAACCTGTGAATTACTAAAATGTGCTTTGAGGGACAAAAATCAAATAAAATCACAATATGGTATACGTTCCATCTTTCTTTCCCACCTGTTGATCCACTTAATGACTTCTGGATTCGATTCAGCTTCACAAAGTCTGGCTACATCTTCCAATTTCATTTCTAAACGCTTCAAGCTGGCATATGGATGCTGGCTACAGTGTCGATTGGCATGAGTAAAACGGCTTTTGCACCCTGATAGATGAAACAAACATTATGACTTAGATTCCAAGTGAATTGTGCACACATCTTGGAGCAGTTTAGAATAAGTAAGTAAATAACCATTTTTCACGCCTTCAAGCGTATTGGGCATATAAGGCTAGACCTATATTTTAAAGATCAATGGTACTTGGTGGGTGATTGTGGTCAGCATCACGCCGGCCGCCTTTACATACCAGGACTGCACCTGGTACCCACTCAAGGCTGGGTCAACCAGTAAGCCAAGTTCATTAGAAAAAAAAGTCTGGCTTTGTCAGGACCGTACAAATTTGAATACCAGTTGTTATTTGAGGTTTGAACAAAAGATAAACATTATGGCATGCGGGGAGTAACCCATAAGTGCTCCGTTCTTCTAAATCAAGTCTGAGTCCGAAGAAGCTCCGCACAGGTTCTGTAGCACCGGCGAGGAACCTCAAATACTTTGGGTAGATTTGTACTACAAATTTCGCCCGGGCAGTGTCGTTAGGCTACTGTTTTCAATTTCCAACTGGCAAGTGATTTTTTACATGTGCAACACAGAGACCAGGATGAATTACTATAAGTCCTGTTATTTATTAGCAAGTAGTACTACTACTGCTACCAACAACATTGATAACCACTAGATATTTTCTTTCTTTTTTATCTCTTTTCTGCATAGAAGTTTGTTTCTAGTGTGTACAGAAGCTGATATAGTTAATACAAAGTGTGTGTGTTGTCCATCAAGATGATGATGACCACTCTTTTTCATCAAGTTTGAGTACGAGGATGTCTGGTGAGGCCAATGAGGGCCCGAAAAGTTCTTGGACAGTGAGGACGGGGAATGAGCATTGTGCCAGGGAGGGGATCTCCTGCAGTCGCCTTTCTGTCCAATACAAAGTGTATTAGAAGAAGAAAAACCAACCTTCCACAATGCAGATGAAAGGTCGCTCTCCAGTGTGTAGACGCTGGTGAGTTTTCAACTGCCCACTCTGACAGAAGGCCTTCATACATCCTGGATAGTCACATGTATACGGCCGTTCACCTGAAATTATGAAAATAAAGCCAGCTTTGTATTTTAACTTTTCATTATTTTTAAAAGTAAAGGACCCTTTTCTACGCCTTTCGGCATAATGGGTATATAGGGCCAGACCTATATGCTACACACCAATCAGCACTTGGCATTTAAGGTTGGGTCGACCTGGAAGCCGTTAGGATCTGAACCTACGACCTTCGGATCCGCAGGCGAGTGTCTGGCCGATACACCACGGCATCTCCCATTATTATTTGAGGACACTGTTTTAAAGGACCCTTTACGCACCACTGGTGCTTTGAGCACATTGTAAAAAGTAGTAAAATACCATTTTCACACCTTTGGAGCATCTGGCAGCATATTCGTAAAGACATTTTTTTAAGCATCCAGAAACCATGAGTTGTGTACTCTTTGGCTCGGTACTATGGATATCGCAACCCTTAGGCCATGATTCCATGATAGGTGCCGTATATCTGAAAGATATGTGGCTTTTCTGCCTATCCCCGGGCGTGAACGCGGACCACAATGAGTTCGTCATCCGGTGGCCTCTCAGTCAGCTTTAACCAACTACGCTAGCGAGCCGGGCTGGACACTCGATAAGGGACATGGTCAACACACAGAAAAGCGAAAAAAATTTTTGCATACATGATCGTGAGAGCTGTTCTGTCGCCCAGCTCCTCCCCCCCCCCCTTACCCCCATTTTTCGGAGCTTTTAGAGGCTCAATAAGCCTGAACCCTCAAGTTTTGGCGCGTAACCACACACACACACACACATTTCCCTCATGCAGCAGCAGCATCTGCTGCTACTAGTTTACACCACAGCCTCCTGTGGTTACAGACGGCCGTGACACTAACTACATTGTTGGCACTTTTCCGGGTGGTTCAGTGATACATGTCGCTATAAGATGACAAGTACCCGCTTGCAGAAATAAGAATACATTAATCCATTCAGTACTTGTATTATTTTTGTCACTAACCACATAAAGACATAAACAGTAACGCCCTCTACATTTCAGCTAGTACCACATACCCGAACTTGCCAAAAATACTCATACCTAGTACTACCTGACGACACGTCATAGACTCAGTCGATAAGGAAATAATAGACAAGGACATGTGGTTTTATTCCGGATTTCCCTGGGGCTCCCCGTTTGGGAATCTCCTAAAAGAAATTAGATCTACACCGATTTGAAACATCTTTATAACAATGTTATGAATACAAAATAATTGTATCACTCAAAAACTCTGGGTTTTTAAAAAAAAAATAACTTTACATTAATGTAAATAGGTAGGACTATATTACAGACAATAACAGAGCGGATGACTACATACATAGTGCGATTGTACCTGGCCCGGGTGGGTGGAGAGAGGGAGATAAGCTTTTCTTGTAATTGATTTACCGAACACCGAACAAGTCGAATCTTGATGGATGTGCGCCTTCTGACTGGTTGACTGATACTATCGAATTTTTTTTTATTCCTTCATTTAAAAAACGATATCTGGGGTGACCCTTGCCCCCTGTCACTCTACATTACCATATTATTACATCGTAGAACTGCGTGTCCTAACAAGAATATTCTATGAAAGGTCAGGTTGTTTTCGTGCACGAACGATTAGATGAAGTTAAAGCTTTGCTGTTTAAACTTTAAAGCAATGGTTGACCAACAATAGTTGCTAAGGTAGCGAAATGCTTGCTGGGGGGAGACGGTAAAAAATCCTTAGTACGGAATCGCTGTGTTTCCTATTTTTTGCGGGGTGGGGGGGGGGTGGGATTATCATCACAGCACTCCGGACAAATCCATAGGTGCTGCTCCTCAAAAGCTCCACAAGTGTGAAACGACTGATGACGTCTGTTCTGTGTTGGTTAATGAAACATCCTGTCCCCTTAGTAAAATGTTCATTTCTTGCAGCTCCAGGCTGCATTCCCATGTCTATCAGTTAAGACAGGGATATGGAGTCATGTCCTTTGGCGTGCTCCTCGGTACGGTAAGTGCAGTGCATGGCAGTGATAACATCACTTCTGTCCAGTACTGGGCCAGCCATAGCAACTGCAGTGTCAGCAAGATAGTCTGCACGCTCGTTCCCTTGCACACCATCAGAACCTGGCACAAAGATTAAGGTTAGGGCAGATATTCGTGAAGTGCTTAGTGTTTCAATCCATTCTGATAAATTTTTATTTTTGTTATCATGTGCCATGCCGATCATCATAAACCACTTCTTCGGGTGGGGAAGAATAATTTGAGATCCAGTGCACGCTCGTGAAGTTTAAAAAGTTAGTTCCGTATCCTCTACAGAACGTTGCATAACCCGCCACGGAATTTTTGGGCTGTTGTGGTTTTTCTAGGCAAATTTACGACCAGTAGTTTGCCATTCTTTCTGCACGGTCGGCTTCTCAATACCACTGTCGAAACCAATGCAAAGCGCAAGACGCGCAGCTAGAATCGAACCCGGCATCCTGGCATTACAAAGCGCGTGCGCAACGCTTAAATCACAGACGCCGACCCTCAAAACGTGCACAACAAATATTGACTGTCTAATAAATCTAAATTTACAAATAAAAGTCCTTGAATGGCTACATTCTGCCTGTGAGTTCCGGGGCCCGACGTGTATGTGTTTTTTCTTGGGGGGAGACCCATTGTTTAAACGTACACAAGAATTATTTTTTAATGTTATCATTGTGCAGTTAAACAAAGCCTGGTAGTCACTCTCACACCTCTATAAAATTAGTGGATTGTTACACCAACCCCCTCCCCCAATTTCAATTTGGCGGCGTGTTGATGACGATCTTTCACCGCGGTGTCATTTGTTTATTATAACGGGCCCATATATATATTTATATATATATATTTTACTTCTTTTTTTTAGCCTAATGAACTATACACAAATATTTTAGAATTCAAATACCTTGAACGCAACTAACGCACTTCCCCAAGTATAAGACTATTCCATGTATGTCACACCTTTATTTTGGGAAGGAAATTGAAGGGGGGGGGGGGAGTGGTTAACTGAGGAAATACGGTTTACCTCACATAAGTTAAAACTCACTGGACTCTAGATTCACAAACAACCACAACAAACAAATATATACCGAAAAATCTATAACGGAAGCGGGTTGGGCATAGGGCCAGCAACCCCCCGTAAAAAAAGGAGGAGTAGGAGTGGACTAATTGGAGACATCCTTGGAAGTCGGAGTGCATTTGCCTGAGAGGTAAGGAACCACAGGTCTGCATACAGATGAGCTAGATGTGTGAAACGAATATGCACGCAACACTCAACTTCTGAAGCAAGACTAAAGATCAGAGTTGGACGGGCAGAACTTTCCGCCGGAGTTTACAGCCGGTGAACGAGAAGAAGAAGATATATGTTGACAAATTCAAACAGCGGTATGACTGGTACACTTTTATCTCGTTTTAAGGGTCTAAATTTACCCTCTTTAAACGCCCACTATTGATATCTGCTATCTATGAAGACAAAATGGCTATCTCATGATACGATAAGCACAATAGCTTTTTATTCATTATCAATAGAAGCCATTTTTTATTGAGCTTTTAATGATGAAAACTGCTGCACACACGTGAGAAACAGGAGAGCGTGTTTCTGTTCTAAGCAGTTGAATTGGAGAAGGCTGTGATTTAACCAACACTTCATCGACTATTTAAAATATCTTCGATCGGGAGCTGGGATCGTACGGCCATTACGTCTGCGCTGTTTGTTGTTACTGTCACTAAGCAACCAGTGACAAGAAAATTCACGTCTTTCGGGGTGGGACTGTAATGTAAGCACAGTCACAGAATCGTATTATCGACGTTGAGAAATATTTACGGCCAGGGGAGTCCATTTAACCGGGAAACTCAATGTAGCATAATCGAAAGGGCCTTTAAATAACACAGTCTGCCTTATACTACTTCTTTAGTGAGAAATTACATGATCGATACATTGGCAGGAAAAGAGAAGAAACATAGACGGAAAAAAAATATCCATATTAGAAGAGTTGTTGTTTATATATAGCCAACTCGATTTTTGATTAGGCCTACTTCTTATATAATTGACCTTCATCATCAGTTCTCGTTATGCCTAGTGGCACATGAGGCTTCAGAGAGGACTTTCCATGCTTTCCTGTCCTGTGCCATCGTCAATTGACCTTGTAGACAAGCGAAAATTCTTAGACAGACTTGAGTGCAGACACGAAGCAAAACACAAGCAAGGTGTTTAGTCATTTTTGTTGTTCTTCTTCTTCAAAGTAGATATCTATATACAACAATAAGAAAGAGAGAAACATTGTTCTTTGGCCACATAATGAGAAGAGAGACATTGGAGAACATCGTGACAACTGGAAAGATCAGTGGAAAGAGGGGTAGAGGCAGACCAAGAGAGATGATGCTGGGTGGGCTGAAACGATGGCATGGAGGGATATCATCAAGATCTGTTCCAGACAACCAGTGATTGTGATCTGTGGAGAAGCATGAGCGCCTACGCCAGTTGGCAGGGCACTTGATGATGACGATGTAGTTGTTGTTCTTCTTCTTCGCTTCCACCGGCTGTAAAGTCCGGCGGAACGTTCTGGTTGTTCGTCTATTTCATTATTGTCATCAGTTTGTACTGGCCAAGTTCAACCGCTATCTAGAGAGCCAGCCTCTCATAGCATTGGTGTTATAATTTTGGCTTCTGTTTATGCTGTTATTTCATTGTGTTTCTAAGTGTTGGTGGTTCCAGCCTCCCATGTCTGTCGAGCCAGGTTTTCTGCATGTTGTTTGTAGGGCCCTCATCTTAATGCTGATTGGTTTGTTTGGTGCTCGTTATGTTGCCGGATTGAAAAGTCTTTGCCATTGTTTGCTGTCCTCTGTTCCATTTTCATAATGTATCTGCTACTGTTATCTTGATCTACCTCTGGCATTCGCAGTGTACTCTGTATGCTGTCTTCATCTATGACGCCATATGAGATCACCCATGCCGTCATCCTATTGTTGGCTTGGTAAGACTTCCTTTTTTCTTCTTTTTCTTCTTCTTCTTCT